CCTCTATATTTACATTTGAACCAATGGTATTTCGGATGACATCCAAATCATTAAATGGATTTCCGCCGGTGCTTCCATGCATCCGTGAACTACTGAAATCATTTAGATTAACTTTGCTAGGATTATTATTTCCCTCTACTACTCTTTGCTCTACTACAATATCATCTCCAATTTTATCCACATCATTTTCAAAATCTTTTAAAAAAAATTCTTCTCCCACTTGATAAGAAATTGATAGGGGTTCATGACCAGTGGCTATTTTTAGGAACTCAAAAGCATCTTGATTTAAAAAGGATTTATCGTTTCCATCTCTACCAAAAACTTTGCTTGCATTTTTAAATAAATTAGCCAATTCTAGTTTCGCTTTATCACGAGGGAGTCTTGAAAATCCCCAAAAATTCTTTTCTTCATCGCAAACTCCATAAAGTTCATAGGGATTTTTACCGGTATATGTTTCGAACCAGTGCTTGAATTTTTCCTCCCCAGAATTACCAATTCTTATTACATCACCTCCGTTTCCTGCATCAAGGTAATAAAAAAATCCTCTACTATTAAATGATTCTATCAAATTTGGATATCAAGGATCGATAATCTCAACTTTGTCTCAATAATGGTCAGAATTCAATTCTTTCAAACTTTTCTTTATAATTAAAGGTGATTTTATTTTGATTTTAATATTTGAAAGTTTGGGGTTATTTTTAGTTTCTTTTATTAATTCTTTAAGATTTGCCATTTTATTAGTTTATATTTTGTTGTTTAAAAATTAATTTTACAATCACTACAATGACAATTAAGTCCTTTATAACAAATTAGGTAGCAATTGATTTTAAATATGCTAATTGGTTATTTTCTCTCATTCTGACCATAGGCGATAATTTTATTTTATATATTCCATTGAGGAACATTTACTCTATAAATTAGTTTTATATACTTTTAGTTGACTAAATAGGTTAATTATTTTTTTTCTTTGTTCGAGTTCTTTTCCGACTGCTCGATTAACAAATTTTTTAATTTGACAAGAACCAATTAACTTTTTTAAATCTTGGTAGTTATTTTCTTGTAATAGTAAATACTTAATGTTCTAGTCATAATGGTTGTAGATTGTTTATTTTACATTGTTTTTATTGGATGAGAAATTTCTTAATTGGTTGGAGGAAAAATATTCCTCTCATAATGGTTAATTAGGACAGGATTAAATTTTAAATATAGTTTATTACATAAACTATTGCGATTTTTAACTATTTTTTGAGGTTAACGTTTACCCTTACATAACGGGTAGCATAACGAAAATAGATTATATGGCAAAGAAAGAAAAAGAGTTTTATTTTAGCAAATGGGGGTATACTAAAAAAGATTTTCAAAAGTGAGGACAAAAAGGTGGTTTGGCTTTTAAATATTCTTCTAATGCGGAAAGACAGAAAGCTTATCGGCGGAGGAAAATGCAGGCAAAAATAGAGGCAGGATTAGTGAGTGGGGTTTTGAATTTGGAGACTGGGAGGGTGAGGAAATGGAGGAATAATGGGCAGAGGCAGAGGAGATGAAGGGAGAGGAAAAAAAATATTTAGCCTCTGGTCGAAATTACTTTTTTCCACCCAGACTATGGAAGTATTTTGTTTAACTATCCAAAAAAACAGTCTTTACTTTGAACTTATCCAAATAACTAATTTGGTTGACTGTTCGCTAATTGTCCTAACTATTTAGAAGAAATTTGAACCAAGGCTTGAATAGAATCCTTTTCTTGAAAACTATCTATGTTTATTTGGGTTTCTTTTGCTGTCTGATTTGCCTCTTGATTTTCCTCCATTGCTTCCTCATCTGCTTCCATTAAGGAAGAATTTTGTCGATAATTAATTAATTCTGCTTCTAATTCTATTATTGCTTGGGTAATATTGCTTAGTTGACTACTTCATTTTTTTGTTTTTTCTTTATTCAAATCCTCAATTAGTTCTCTTAAGGATTCTTGACTTGTTAACTCTGAAACATCAATTGTTCCATTACCATCCCCATCATATTTTTTTAAAAATGCTTTGACCTTTATTTTCAATTCTTTAAGTTTTTTATTTATTTCTCCCAACTTACCAGTTGTAATTTTTTTCAGAATTCCTAATAACTCATGATAATTATTTAAAAGTTCTTCCGAATCTTCTACAAATTCATTTCATCTTTTCTCCTTATTCTCATATCAGTTAGTTTTAGCATAAGAAGTAATTATTTCAATTACTGGTGAAGCAACTGCTACTGCTCCTATTCGGCGACCCTCAAAAACTAAACTACCACTGACACCAAGAATACCACTTATGCCAACCAGACCTCGCCCTGCTCATTGAGGAACAGTTCAGTATCAATGTTTATTAAACTGTTCCGGAGATTGCAACTTACTTAACTCAATAGTTTTGCTTTCTGATATTGGCTGATTTCTTAAATAATTAAGGAATTTTTTTTCTTGCCACTCATACCAACTAGGTTCAACTTCTTTACTTCATTTGCTAACGAATTTTTTGATGTTACTTCTGATAACAAAAAGTCTTTCAAGAGGAATAACCGAAGCAGTGAGATTATTTTGTTCATTTATTTCTCGTCATTTGTCTAAATTGTAGTATTTTTTATTATATGAATCCTCCTCCGAACATTTGCTTAATTCCTCCATGATTTTAGTTGGAGGATTGGAATTGCAGATAAGTTTTTTACAACTAGTTGGTAAATGTTCCAACCCCTTATCATCAAGGCTAGTATTAGTAATAAGCAATACCTCTAAATTAGTTAGAGTTGCTAAAAATTTTAGGTTTCCTTTTAGGGGGCAATTGCTAACATTCAAATGCTCTACCTTGTCGACCGATTTGAGAAAATTTAAATTGGTTAGTTCATTATTAGAGAAGTCAATCTCAATCAAATTAGGACAATCGCTCAAATCCAAATTAGTTAGTTGGTTATCAGCACAGTTTAATCTTTTTAAATTAATAAAACCTTTCAGTCTCAGAGTTCCTTTTAATTCTTGACCACTGACATTTAATACAGTTTTATTTTTTCTTTCACTGAGGGGATAGTTTTCATCTAATCACTTTTTTAGATTTGACTCATGTGGCACTTCGTTCGCAATATTTTTTGTTAAGTAATCCAATAACTTTGTTTTTGATTTTTCCCGGAGTTTTTTGTTAATTTTGATTTCCTTACCACTAATTGGTGGATTATTTACATGAATGATTTTTCCTTTTTTAAGGACTTTGTTGTTAATTTCTTCATAACCTTCCTTATTATCACTAAAAAAATTGACTGAATCGCTTATATCCTCCTCACGCTTATCTTTATTTCTAAAATCAGTGAAGTTGGTTCTGACAACAGTAGTATAATCAAATGCTTTATTATCAAAAAGAAAATCATTTAGCCAAAGAAATTCAGTTAAAACTTCTTGATCCATTTTTTCACCAATTACAAAAAAAATTTGACTTATTCCCTCCTCAATATAAATGCCGATTTCTTCTTCAAATTTTTCTAATAGTTCATTTTTGATTAGCCTTTTATCCCCTAAGCCGACCGTGTCTATTATGCGATAGTTTTTTCCTTCATTTTCAAACTCTTTATCTACTGCTCTTCAAACTTTAGTAAGCGAAGAACTGTCTTCTTTAAATTCATCAGTTCTGCTTAATACATTCGCTAATGCTGATTTGCCACTCCCCGTTTTACCAATTATGATTATGTTTTTAGCATCTACCATATAGTTATTTTTTACTTTTGTTATAAAAATAAACGCAAAATTATAATATAGAAGTTAATTTCTGTTATGGAAAGTTTTCTATATTCAAAAAAAGTTGCCTATAGTCGAAACGATATGAGATATCTAACTGGAATAGCCGAGTTATCTGACTTATTTTAATAAATGAGTTGAATAAATCTTTAAATCAAATCACTCCTAGTTAGGTATAATTATTGGAAAGTACGGTGGTGGTTGCAAAACTTATTTTTTAAACAACAAATAACAAATATACAATAATAATATGATAAATAACATTTTAATAATTGGAATAACTGGAAATGGAAAATCGGCTTTGGCTAGCCTTTTGGCTGATAATAATGAATTTGAAGCAAGTGGCACTAGCACTAGTAAGACTAATCGCTTTCAAGTTAGCGAGGAATCTTTTGAATACAAAAGCAAAAAATATCGTTTAATTGACAATATTGGTTTTGGCGATACTGGTAATATTGCTGAAGAAGAAATTTTTCTAGAAATCGGAGAAGGAATTCATTCTGCCGAAAAAGGAATTAATCAAATTCTTTTTGTATTTAAAGGACGATTTGGTTCCGAACAAGTGGAGACTTTCAAAAAGTTTAAAACTTTCATTTCCGAAAGTGGAATCACTAAATATACCACGCTAGTTCGCACTCGATTTGAGGAGTTTAGAAATCCCCAAAAATGCGAAGAAGACCGACAATCTTTGCTTAGTGAAGAGAATAAGGATCTTTGAGAAATAATCGATTCTTGTAACGGTATCGTATATGTAGATAACCCGCCTATACCTAAGATAGATGAAGATGAGAGAGATAGTGATGATGAGGAGGAAATAAATTCAATTAAAGAAAAAAAAGAAGCAGCAAGAAAAATAGTGCTTGACCACCTAGCAGAAAAATGTGGCGAGCCTTACAAATTTGGAAAATGAAATAGTATCTACAAGTTAGTGGATGACTATGCCAATAAAAAGCAAGAAATAGTAACCGATACAGAAGAATTAAAAAAATTAAAAAGCGAAGTAGCCAAAAATATAAAGAACCACTTGATGAAAGAAATATCGTTTACTGCGGCGATTGAATATAATATGAAAAAATAAAGAAAATATATGTTATATTTAAAAGAAACTAATTTCAAAAATCATTTAATAAGCAATGCAAAAGAGGACTGATTTGTTAAGGGTAAAACCTATAAGCACTCAGACATCCTGAAAAAAGATGGTAGTAGTCGACACTCAAATTTACCATTGATAGGAACAAAAATTAAAGACTTTAAAGGAAAGGAAGTGGTAAATTTTTCTGTCTATAAAAACCAAAACAATAAAATATCAGTCAAACTACTTAATGATAATTCTTCATGAGAAACAACTTATTCTAGTCGCCATGGAGGTAGTTGAGATAAAGTTTTTTATAATGTTTGCTCTTGAAGTAATGAATGTTATGAAAGAATAACCTGAAAAGATATCCATTCAAACTTCACTTCCGAGTCGCGACAAAAATGAGAAGATAAAGGATTTGATTACGAGCAGTGTAAAAAGTGAATCAGTCAGGGTTTGAAAATTGATGATTATGATTTTGCCAGTTATTTAAACCAAAGGGATGACGATTTTTCCTCAATTGACATGGAAAAACTGAGAAAAGAATACAATGCTAACCAACAATTTGAACAAAACTATCCAAAAACCACTAGAAATCAGGTTACTGAATTAAATATTAGTAACAAAAATTTAGAAGGTGAGTTAGATCTTTCTGACTTCATCAATTTAGAAAAATTAGACTGTGCATTTAATAAACTTACAAAACTAAACTTAAAAGGATTAAAAAACTTATGGCACATAGATGCCGGACTTAATATGATTGAAGACTTAGACAGCATTATTGACTCTTTGGATTCTGAAAAATTACTTGTTTTGAAAGTACACAATAATAATTTACCTGAACAAGACTTGTCTAAATTTGAAAGGTTTGTTAAATTAGAAACTCTTCTTGTTGGTAATTTTTATGGATGAGAAGTAGGAGAAAAAAATATAACTGAAGGTAAATATAACCGTTTTTATGGATCCTTGGAATCTCTAAAAAATATGTCCAATTTGAAAGAACTTGGTATCTATGGCACGGATATCAATTCTGGCCTTGAATTCCTGCCCGAGAGTGTTGAAGAGTTGCTTACTGATAGTGGCAAAAGATATTCTAATTCTCCTCCCAAAAAGGTAAACGAAATTAGAGAACAACTCGTTCCTTATAAACACAACTTTAAAAAATGAAGAAAAAGAGTTAAAAATATACTCGTAATTGGAAGATCGGGTCGAGGTAAATCTACCCTGGCTAATGTAATTACTGGTGAAGAAAATAAATTTGCAGAAAGTTCAGGAAGTGTAAGTAAAACTAAAAAAATCCAATCTAAGCATTTTACAGATGAAAATAACGATTATTTAGTAATTGACACTCCCGGCATCGGCGACACTAGAATGTCTGATAACGAGGTATTAGATGTAATCGGTGAAGCAGTTTACTTAGTCAAGGATGGTTTAGACCAAGTTTTATTTGTAGTAGATGGCAGATTTGATAAATATGAAATGGCAACTTATAATCTACTCAGAACCATTATTTTTGATGAGAAAATTACTAATCATACTACGGTTGTTCGCACTAACTTTGCGGATTTTAGGAATAAAGAAAGTCGTGAAAATGATATTAATTCAATGAAAGAAATCACCCAAGAGAAAAAGGCTGAGTTAGAAAAGAAAATTACTGACAAAGAAAAAGAAAGAGATAAACTAGAAAGGGAGAAAGTCGATCACGATAGTGAAAAATATAAAAAAGTAACAGTTGAGATTGAGAAATTAAACAAAGAATTAAAGTCAACTCTCAGTGAAATAATTGAATCTTGCAAAAGCAGAGTAATTCATGTAGACAACCCCCCTTCAAACAAAAAGTTAAGAGAAAAATCACGAAGAAGAATCTTAGATCAATTGCAAAAAACTTGTCAAACAACTTCTTACAAACCAGATAAATTAAAAGAATTGAGTGATGAAATTTCTGATGATATGGATAAACTGCTACAAAGTAGAAAGGAATTAGAATCAGAGATGAAAAAATTAAGAAGTAGTTCGGTAAGTAGTCTCACTAATGGCCCGCTACTAAAAACTACTACCAACATTACAAAACCGGTAGCAAGCAGTGAAAATGCTACTGCAATACCTTTAGAAATTCCAGAATTCACTACCGAAAGTCATGACACAACTATTGCGATTGGCAAAATAAAAGAATTAGAAGACAAAAAAGCCAAATTAAGAAAAGAAATTGCGAAAAGAGAAAGAATTATCAGGCAAAAAGTTTTAAAGCATATTTATAAAAACTACCAAGAAATTAGCAGTGAGTTAGGAGGTGATATTCTTATGCAAAGTGTAGTTGGTGAACATAATTGAGAAAAAATTAGCCTAGAATTTAAAGATAAAGGACTAATTTTAAAATGACTAAATGAGAAATTTGACTTTGAAGGAGTGCAAAAATGAGCCATGGCTTTGGAAGATAGTTTTAAACCTAAAGAGGATACTGGCTTCTGTGCTTGGCTAAGAGATGATATGGGGTTGAGTGTAGAAAAAGTAAAAGAGTTAGATTATCCTCGTGATATTGAGGAATTAAGGAAAGGATATGCAGAATATTTAGAAAAAGAAGTTAAAGTACTTGATGAACATAGTAAAAAACTAGGTAAAAAATATATCCTCACCCCTGAAAACTTTCAAAAACTAATCCAACTTACTTGTAGTGTAGAAGTGGCTCAAGCCTACCAAGCCACAGCCCAAGCTTTACAAGCTACATCCCAAAACCAAACAGTAATTCAAGCCTGACAAACAGTAATTCAAGCCTGACAAACAGTAATTCAAGCTTTCCAAACCCAAGACCAAGCCGAAGCCCAAGCCTGAGCCCGAGCCTACCAAGCTGCATGCCAAGCTTTCCAAACCCAAGACCAAGCCGAAGCCCAAGCCTGACAAACAGTAATTCAAGACCAAGCCGAAGCCCAAGTCTGAGTTCAAGCTTTCCAAACTGCATCCCAAGCCTGACAAACTGCATCCCAAGCCTGACAAACAGTAATTCAAGCTTTCCAAACCCAAGACCAATCCACACCCAAAGCCTGAGTCCGAGCCTGGCAAGCCTCAGCCCAAGGCTTCCAAGCCGAAGCCCAAGCCTTCCAAGCCGTAGCCCAAGACCAAACCGAAGTCCAAGCCTTCCAAGCCGAAGTCCAAACTTTCCAAGCCTCAGCCCAAGCCTGGCAAGCCGAAGCCCAAGCCTGACAAACAGTAATTCAAGACCAAGCCGAAGCCCAAGTCTGAGTTCAAGCTTTCCAAACTTCATCCCAAGCCTGACAAACTGCATCCCAATCTCTCCAAGCCGAATCCCAAGCCTGACAGTCCAGAGCCCAGCACCTCAAAATCAACCTAACCCTAGAAAACATAGAAAAACTCTTTATTGAAGTAGAGGAAAAACCAGAAGAAGGAAAAGTAGAAATTTCAATCGCCATTGAAAATAAGCTAAAAAACTAGGTAAAAAAATCTCTTTAGTATTATTAAAGCACAAAATAAACTGTGCAAAAAATAAGTCTATTGTTGAACCTACATGAGAAAAGAGAAGAGAGAAAATAATGCTACTTAGCAGAGAAAACTTTGTTTCAGATAAAAAAGAAGATGGATTTTCCTTTGATGAAATAAAACCTAGACTTTACAAAACAGCAAATGATAAAAACTTGTTCGCATGAGTTTAGCCCATTATATATTCAGTTTGTTAAATGAGGGGAAAATAGTTGTGAGAGTGATTAGTGCTAAATAATGATAATTATGACACAGAGAATTAGCCAAGGAGCATGAGGAAGTTACGCAGAAGATTTATCAACTAATAAGAAACTTGGGAGATTATTCAAAACTAGAAACCAGATGAAAAAATATTCAACAAAACTAATTAATGTCAAAGCCCAAAGACCCAAGATTTAGAGATAAAGCCACCGAGGATTTTTATTCAGGAGAAAGAGTTCTCAGATTTCAAGAACTTGGTCGCAGTGAAAAACAAGAAGCTCGCCGTAAAGTAGCTCTAATTTACCAAGCAAAAAAATGATCTGAAATCACCTTATATTTTCCCTATGATTCCAGCGGTAGTAGATTAGAGAAAATTGGTGATAAAGGTCAGCATAGCATTCGTTTAAGCGGTAAATGGCGATTATTGTTTTATTGAGATAAGGGACAAAAGAGGGCTTATGATATTTGGATCGACCCCCACAGTAAAAAGTATGGCAAGTAAAATTAAATATTATGGTAAGAGATAAAGATTTACATCCTATTCATCCCGGAGAGATATTACGGGAGGAGTTATTAAAAACTTATCAGATTACTCCGCAACAATTAGCCCAAAGTATCAAAGTAGAGGAGAATATTGTTAAAGAAATAGTTAAAGAACAGCGGGATATTACCCCCGAACTCTCTTATCGTTTAGGTTTATATTGAGGAGTAAGGGAAGATTATTGGTTAGACTTACAGAAGCATTATGAGTTAGAGTGTTGGAAAGAACAGCAAGAGTTAAAGAAAATAGTTAAGCAAGTTCAGCCGATAAGTCTAGGAAAGAGAGCAGAGGCTTAATTCTACTCAATTAAAATTATTGATATGTCGGTAAATGACTTTAATTAACTTAATGATTAGAAGTTTCCGTGATAAGGATTTAGAAATATTTTGACTAAGCAAAGGTGCTGTCTATGTCAAATGTGTTCCTTCGGAGTTAAGAAAGTCAACTTATCGAAAATTAAGAGAACTTAACAATGCCCAAGATTCCCGAGATTTACGAAAAACTCCCAGCAACCATTTTGAAAAACTAACTGGCAAGCAACATTTTGGTTATTGTAGTATTCGTATTAATGATCAATATCGCTTAATTTTTCTTTGGCAGAATAATAACGCTTACGAAGTAGAAATTAATAAACATGATAAAAAGTATTAATATGAAACAAAAGTTAGAAGCAATAATAATTCATCCAGGGGAAGTATTAAGGGAGGATTTTTTGTTGCCTTTGAAATTAGCACCGGAAAAACTGGCTAAAAATATTAAAGTTAGTTCACAAATAATTCAAGAATTAATTGCTGAAAAAAGAGATTTGGATAAAGATTTAGCTACTCGTTTAGCTCTTTATTTTGACATGAGTACCGAATTCTGATTAGGTATCCAGCACGATTACGAGCAAGATTGTATTGAAAACTTGCGAATTAATTTGCGTAAGGAAATTACTCCCTTACAGACTAGTAAATAAAACTAAACCAGCACAAACGAAGATGTGCGAAAAAAGGGGAAAGGAGGGGTTAACCCTCCCCTTCTGGACATTCTTGATGTTCTACGGCTTTTAGTCAGAAATTTAAGCCATAGGTGGTTAGGTAGCGTCCTAACCGAGTGGAAAAAAATTCCTCCTTATCAACCTCATTAGCGTAGTCGCTAACATAAAGGCGATAATTGCCGGTGGTAATATCCTGCTCCGTAAGGTAGTGCTGACAAGAACCACAGAAAAATTGCTGTAAATAATCAGACTTATTAAAAGTTCCTTGAAATTTTAATTCGATAGTTGCCATGATTATTTAGTGATTTCTACGGCTTGGTTATTGTCAGCGGAGTAATTAGTCTTACAATTATCGCACTTTCAAATTCCTAAACAGCCTAGTCGATTTTTATATTCGCAAGTTAAAAGTTCGCGACCTTGACGACGGATTTCTATGCGAGCGAATATTCTTTCTTGGTGAGAGAGTTGGCTTTGGATATCCCGTAATTGAGTTTTGAGATAACTAACTTGGCTTTCGGTTTTTTGGAAAACTAATTCAGTAAAGACTTCCATAGCAGGTTCAAATTTGAGAGCAAATTCCATTTTATTTTTAAGCAAATATTCTCAGGCTCAATTATCGGATTGCTCTTGGTTTTTTTCTTTGGCAACTGCTTCGGCTAGAAATTTAGTGCTAAATAACTCAATTTCTCTTAAATTTCCTAGTAATCTATCTGCTTTTTTTTGTTTAGTTTCTCAACTATTTAATTCTTTTAAAATCTTTTGTTCTTGGTTTTTCAACATCTCTATTTGGCTTTCTACCTTGGTTTTTTTGTTTTTCGTATGTAGGAGGGTTGCTCCATTATTATTTATGAAATTATTTTTCATAATGAAATGCCAACCCCGTAGGGTGCTATTCCCCAAAATGTTTTCTGGGGAATTGGTGAAAATTAAGTAGTAATTTTTCCACTTTTGACTTGTTTACAAGGAAAAAGAGCAGGGTTTAAGTCAAAATGAATTGTTAAAAATAAAAACTTTCTAATGAATAATAATGGTAGAGAAATCCCTCCTGAAAAACTATATAAAAAACCAGAAAACCATAAAAACAGTAAAAGATTTAAAGAATTGTTGGGATACTTACAAAAAAGTCCTAAAATTTAGCCGAAGTAAGCAATTAGCACTAAATTTAGCCGAAGTAGAAAAAGGGAAATTAAACCTTGGATTAATTGGGGTATCGGGGAAGTAGTGATAAAAAACTACTTGGGCGATGATAAAAACCCATAAAAGTTAACTGTTATCTATGTTAACTGCTAACATGGTTAACTGTTATCTTAGTTAGGAAAACAAACTAAAATATAATATTATGACCCAACTAATAATAATCAAAACTGCTAATGCGGAAAAAATAAGAACTTTTTTAGATCAAGAAAAGCAAAATTATAAAGTTTTCAATCAAACCCGTCGCCAGAAAGATTTATTTGCTAACTATGGGGAAGCAATTAAAGATAAAGAAAGAGAAAAAGAAATTACTTTATTAGACCAAGCCCAAGAGGAAGATGATGAGGAAAATAAAGATTGAGAATGATATGATAATTAAACGCGGAGAAGTTTATAAATTTCGTGTCAGTCGTAAAGAAACCGAAGGAACCGAACAACAAAAAAACCGTCCGGCAGTAATTATCTCTACTAATCGCTTAAATAAAAAAAACATTCGCTTTGTGGCAGTGCCAATCACCAGCAAGAAATTAGAAAAAGTTTATGATTTTGAAGTTCCGGTAATGGTGGCTAATCGTCAAGGCAAGGCATTGTGCGACCAAATAAGAGTTTATAATGAAACTAGGCTAATTAAAAAAGAGGGAAAATTAGGTATTTTAAACGAAAAGGAGTTAAAAGAAATTGGAGAAAAGGTTTTAGCTTTATTAGATTTTGAGGAGTTGATAGATTTGTATTGAGAAATTTATGGATAAAGATAAAAAGATGATTGCTTGCTTATCCCAAAAAGGAGGCGGAGGCAAATCCACCATTGCCCGCTGTTTAGCAGTAGAACTCACTAAAAGAAAATTAAAGGTTTTATTAGTTGATTTAGATATCCAACAAAAAACCAGCCAAGAATGAGCCGAAAGGAGAAAAAGCCAAGGCATAAAACCTCTAATTAATTGTCAATCTTTTCCTTACTTCCCACCTGAACTACTAAAAAAAGGTTATGATTATTTAATAATAGATGCTCCGGCACGAATAAGTAAAGAAAGTTTAGAAATTGCCAAACAAGCCAATTTAATAATTCAACCGGTTCGTCCTAGTTTGGATGACCTAAACCCCGCCATTCGTGAGTTTAATGGCTTATTTAAAGCCGGAATTTCTAAAAGTAAGTTAAATTTCTTAATAAATGCGGTTGGTTCTCCTGCTATGGAGAAAAATACTCGGGAATACTTATCCCCAGCGGGTTATTTTATTTTCCCCGTAGCGTTAGAAGAAAAGGTTTCTTACCAAGAAGCCCAAAACCAAGGATTAAGTATTGGGGAAGTGAAATATAAAAGATTACAAGAGCAAGTAAAGGAGTTAGTGGAAAGTATCTTAAAAAGGTGTTAACTGTTATCTAGGTTAGCAGTTAACTATTAAAATATAATATATGGAGCAAAAAGCAATAGTAGAGGCAATATACAAAGGAAAAACCAAAGATGAAAAAAATGTAAATTTGGTATTACTACACTTTTCAAAGAAAAAGGAAAG